CAATTTTCTTCTGTTTTATAGTTGATTTGAGAAGGAATTTTTCTCACAAAGTATCTTGATTCTTGTTTTCTGTTTTATCACAGTTTCTTTGAATATATTTATTCAGTTTTCTTCAATTCGTTTTCTGAATTTGGTATTACAATATTCTTAGTTCAACGATGCCCTCTTCTGTCAGTGTAGCAGAGTACTGTTTCTTTAATAAAGTTTTTTCTTGGTTGATTGTTACTGGAGGGGTTGTATTACCTCTAATTAATTAATTTTTTTTTTGTCTTTCAATGGATTTAAAATTTTCCTCTTTTCTTTCTGATTTTTCTTTACCACCCAAACTCCAAAGGATGATTCTCCTTCCTTTTAACTGTCTTATTCTCCTACACAATCAGTGCCTTTCAGAGATGGCCACTTCAAATCATGTGTGCTTTTAAGTTCTCTGTGACCCTATGGTCTACTTTATCTATTTATCAATGGTTTTTAGATTTGTCCTAAGCTTACTTCTCCCTACAATGCAATTTTTCCAAGATGGTCTTCATTTACCAAAGAAGGTTTCTGTTGAGAGCTTGAGACGTGATTTGTTAGGATTTTGTGTTTTCTTTTTCTTTTATACCTTACAGTAATTTGAAGTTTAGAATTTCTCTGTCTTCTAGCTAGGCTGAAGCTGTGATTTTTGTATATTATTGTTTGCCTTGTTCTGAGTTGTTTTTGAGGTCATGTGGGGAGGCATAGTTTCATGTGGCCACCGTTATATTTGGTTCCCTAAAAGGGGTTTGTTTTGTTTTGTTTTTGAGTAGCATCGGCAGACATTTATCAATTTTTTTCAATGAACCAATGTGTGGCATTGGTGATCTTTTAAAATGTATATTTGTTTTCCATTTCCTTAATTTCTTATTTTATCTTTATTATTTCCTTTTTTCAAATTAAAAAATTGATTTTGCCACATTTTTCTAATTTCTCGAGATGGATTCTTGCTTTGTTTTTGAATTTTCAGGCTTTCTTCTGTTATAACATATTCATTTGAGATTATATATTTTTCTCCAGGCATTATTGGAGCTGCATTCCCAGATATTTTGCTACAATATTATTATCACTCAGTCAAGATATTTTCTAGTTTCCTTTATAATTTCTTCTTTGGCCCATGACTCATTCATAAATATATTTTTACATTTCCAAATATATGATTTCCTAGGGTGTTTTATCTGTCATAATTATCTTGTGGTGAAAGAACATATTCTGCATGGTTTAAACTATTTGAAAATTTTTGTTTTATGGCACAGTACAGGGTAATTTTTCTAAATGGTCTTGCAATAAGATCATACGCATATATGTCTTATTTCATATATGTCTATTTGGTCAACTTGTTCACTGTGCTATTTTATTCTACTATATATAGTTCAATGTATACTGTATCCCCCAATATCCTGTTTTCTTGTTAATTGGCATACAGTTTATGATTACTCCTATCAGCAAGAGTCATTAGCAGATATTTTAGTGCCTTTGTAGATATGTTTAGCATAGAGGTCACCCAAATTAATCTAATATTATTAGTGTTATATACTACTAGTAAATATTAAATCTTTGCCAAATCAATTACTGCTCCATCATCAATATAATTTTTGTATCTTTCCTGAAAATCACATATAACCAAAAGTAAGTATAAGAGTTCTGTAACAAACAAGCAAATAAAATCAATGGATCTACTGTCAAAAAAGGAGGCATGTCACAATGTAAAATCACATCAATTTTTCATTTCTAAAAAGTATTCAAAATTAAAATTGACAACAACTAGTTTGGAATATCTTAGATTGTGAACTTCTCAGCAATTCACAAGATGTGTCATAATCAACTGTTTCCATGGGTAACGTATTGATAAGGTTGGTGAACAATGTGTGGACAAGATTGGTCCTTCTCTCATAGGGGCAAAGATTCTGAAATCTGTTGTTATTGCTCTTCATCAGGGAGATAATTAATTCTTCTGAACTTGTGTCTAAATTTTCCCTAGCCGCATCTGAAATTTATGTCTCCTCATTTTCTGGTGGTTCACATTATTGTTCATTATCATCTTGGTATGTTATATCCTTGGTATCATAGCATAATCTTTCACTGGAATCTAGATTTTTCTCTAATACGCTATCTCTTCTACTTCCTGATTGCTCTTGTAGGTTGCCACTTCCATGTGTTATGTTATCTTCACTTTCCTTACGAAATGTCTTCATTTCCAGATCGTCAAATTTATCATCTATATGATTTCCTGCAAGAAAATCTTCATTTTCTAGTAACTATTCTCTTTCTGGTGCATCTTCTTTCTATTTCTGTTTTCTGCATGTTGTGTGTGTACGATTTCATAGAGAAGGCACTAAATTTGCTCTTTGACTTCATCTTTAGTGTTCTTGAGGTCTGATTCAAAGGAGAACATCTGCTTCTAATTCTATGTATTTCTGAGGTTATTGTGACAAGCCTGATGATATTGAAGGAGATCTTTCTCTATATCCAAAATATTTTAACATTATTCCCATTAGGATAATCCAATACCATCAACATCATAAATGCCTCAATTTCCTAGAATTTCTTCATATTCCAGAAGACCTAACAAATGATGACTACTCATGTTCAGATTCCAAACAATGCAATTATCATAAGCAATGTGGAAAAAAAGCACTTTCAAGAATTTCCTATTTCTCTCAATTCTTATGTCTTCTGAAATGCTTTTATCTCTCTCTTGAGACTTTTGCTGCCATTTTTAATGGTGCTGAGGCTGACACTGACAGCTGCTGCTGTTGCTGTTACAACTGGCTTATTTCTGTGGCATCATAACTAACTCTCAATGTACAGCAGAGAATGAGAAGGGATACCTCAGGGAACCCAAGAAATAAACACAGCAGTGGATATAATAATTGTGTCTCCACATATTGCTTCTGTCCTATTCTTCTATACATCTGGGATTCTAAATAAACACATGTTCCTCTTTTTCACTGTATCCTCCATGTTCCCTACTCTCACTTTGGTATTCTCCATTTTTTTGTATATTTGTGCTTCATCATGAATGGTTTCTTCTCCTTTGTCTACCAGTTCTCCAATTCTCTCTTTAACTGCATCAAAGCTGCTAGTGTACCCATTTACCATGTTCTTTGTTTATTGTATTTTTCAGTTCTAGAACTACTTTCCCCCAAATTTTCTAATTTCACATTTTGTAGTTGCTAATTTCTTTGCAAAAATTGTGAGCTCATCTTTTTCTTATTTGAACATTTTATGCATATTTCCAATGTCTAGAATAAATTTGTGTCTCTTTTTGTCTCCTCTAATTTCTGCTGATTCTCACTCATGGTATCCTTTCTCTTTATGTGTTTGGTTACTGTTGATTGTGCATGGATAACATATTTTCAAAGTTATTGATGGAAATAACTTGATGCTTAGTAATATATTATCTTCCTCCAAAGAAGTTTTATTTGTTGTATCTTCCTGGATCCTGGGAATGATAGCCATCTAAAAGTCATCTTGATAACAGTTTAAGACTTGAAGTTTTCTCATTTAATTGAACTAAGCCAGATTTTAGTCTGTTCAAGGGATTCTTACTATTGATCTACCCTTACTTCTAAGGTGCAAGCCTCCAGGTATTTAGCCCAAAGTAGTGGGTAGTTTTCAAAGATCAATTGCAACTTTTGATCTTTTATACCTGTGAGACTACCAAAGGTTCAGCTCAAAGTTTCAGTTTCCCCTTTCAGAATAGCAAACTCCTATAATGCCAGAGTGGTCTTAAGTACTGGGCTTAAATTTTAGAGTTTCTATCCTCTCATTGCATCAATAATTTCCCTCTATATTAGCTTTTCAATATTTTAATAAAACGTAAGTATTAATCCAATTGCTTTTCCATTGGAAGTGTTGTTCCATGTTCACTACTGGAAGTAAAGTATCCATATTTATTTGCTGTCATAAAAGTCTAAACTTATTTTGAATTTAAATAAGTATGCTAATAAGAATTTACATGGCAAGCACCTACTTAAAATTTTAATTCTAAAGTAGATAGCTAGATAAAGCATGAAGCCTTGCCATGTACTTATAGCTTAGATAAAAAACAAAAGGCATCAATACCTTCAATTTCTTATAATGGTCACTTGGATTTTCTCTCAAAGACTTAACTACAGGAGCAACAGAATTTTTGACAAAGGTCTGGAGATGGAATAAGCACAATTAATAAATACAAATTTTCCTATTCTTGCAACGAAATTCTGCATTTTATCTGAATTTAGAATAGCCCCAAACAGGCCAAACTGCCCCCTATTTCTAATGTCATGATTTTCTTTTTCTTTTTTTTTTTTTTGAGGAAGATTAGCTCTGAGCTAACATCTGCTGCCAATCCTTCTCTTTTTGCTGAAGAAAGCTGGCCCTGAGCAAACATCCATGCCCATCTTCCTCTACTTTATATGTGGAATGCCTACCACAGCATGGCTTGTCATGTGGTGCCATGTCCGCACCCGGGATCCAAACCAGGGAACCCCAGGCTGCTGAAGTGGAATGTGCGCACTTAACTGCTGTGTCATCGGGCCAGCCCCCAAGATTTTCTTATACAGAAGACTTCAGAGACAAGGAAAGACATGAAACCTGGCATGGGTAGATGGTCTCTTGAGTAAAGGAGGAAGTCAGTCAGTCAGCCATTGGTCAAAGTCTGAGAGGGCCTTAGGGGAGAGTGCAGTCCTCCAGGCTAGTAGCTGTCAGCCATGTAGACGCTGTCATTCACGTAACTGGAGGAGGGTACCCTTCCCAGTAATGAGTGTCTTGGTTTGGCACTACCCGTATTTACTAACACTCCTCCGCCATAGAACTGTTGTAGGGATGGCACAAGATAAAACGTCATGTTCAATGACTGCGAAGTTCTGCAGAGTGCCTGGTACATAAGAAACACTTTATAAATGATAGCTATTTTTTACAGGCATAAAATACCAAACACACAGACAATGAAATAAATTAGTTACAAATATTTTGTAACGCCATCTGAGTAAAGAAAGTCTTACTGTACATGTTGCTTCCTCATCAAATGTATATGTGTGATTTACTGAGCATCGTTCATGATGAGGTTGTAAAGGAGTAACTTTCCGTGGGCTTGTCCAACCTGAAAACAAAAATATATGTGCTTTGGGTTAAAAATGCAGTAGAAATTTCTTCTTCTACGAGAAATATTTCCTATTAGAAAGCTAAATTGTGTGGTGCTAATTGATTTTTCAATGGATTATCTAACAACTTTTCTCAGCAGTGAAAACTGAATAGCTCTGGGATTTACATGTTAGGATAATTATAATAATGCAGAATTATTTGTTGTTTATTGCATATTATTGGAAGAGACCTGTTGGGTACTATGGATCTGCGTATATGTGTGCAGAGGTTTTGGGGTTGGTGGTGACACAAAGGAGCCTGGTTACTATGTAGGTAATTCATCTAATGATAGATTAGAAGCCCTATGAGACCAGAAAATAGAAAAACAGACTTCAACAAATATTTACTGTACCATAAATGGAATCAGATGAATATATAAAGATGAAAAATAGGGTTCCTGGTTTTGAGGTGCTCCTAAACAAATGGAAAAGATAGACATGTAAGTAGATAATTTCAATATGATGTAGCAACTGTAATAATAGTTGAGCTCTGAGTGCTATAGGAGTTCAGAGGAAGAATACCTAGTCCAGCCAGATTGTGAGGAGTTAGGAAAATCTTCCTAAAGATAACACCTGATCTCATCTTTACAATTGAATAAGACTTGGAAAAGAAGTGGAGGAAGGATAGTCATTCCAGGCAGGGAAACAGCATGTGCAATGGTAGGACTGCCCTATGAGAGCATCACAACTTTTATAAGAAATTACAAAAGGTTGGATATAGCTCCATCATAAAATGGCAACCAGGGAATGGTGGAAGATGGACAAGAGAGGTAAGCCAGAGTCAGGGCATGAGGGCCTTGGACTTAATCTCCAGATGGATTACCCTTGGAAAGTTTTAATCAGGGAGAATGATAATTTTGGCAAATTATTCTGCTTTGGATAGGGGACTAGTGTACATGAAGAGAATGGTAATATCTCTGTTAGTGTCCATAGGGATCCTCTCTCCTACCCTATGGGGGCTTCTGACTTGGTCCTTTACTTCTTAGCTTTGTCCTGTGAATTCATCCAACTCGGCAAACAACGAATTAAAGAGTTACAATTTGGAAGCTAGGTGGACAGTACTGAGATGTTGAAGCATGGTGAGATGAATTGTAAGAGAGATTTGGGATAGCACAGGAACACCATGCTCATCTGTGAATACGAATCTGACAGAGCTCCATAACAGACTCCAGCAGATCTTAAGGCTTAAAATACATATATAGCTTCTGGTTCAGGTGCCAGTGTGACCTCACAAATTATTTGACTCCTCTGAGGCTCATTTTCCTCACTTTTAATCATTGTTGTCAGAATTGTGAAAACTACAATTAATGTATATAAGGGAATTGACAAAACCTCTGGCATATAGTTTAAGTGCTTAACACATTTATTAATTATCAACTAATAGTTGTAACATTATTAATATCTGTAGTAGTAACATAGTAATACGTTTTCATAATGATGGTTCAATCAATATTTGACTAAGAGACTCAGGACAGAATCTGCAAAGTGGCCTGGCAAGGGAGGGATGGGAACTAATGGATCTTCCGTGGCTTTTGAAGGAGAAGTCAGATAGATCAGAGTGCAAGAAGGCCTTGATGCACCATTGTTGGCTTTGAAGATAGAGGAGACCATGGGAGAAGGAACATGGGTAGCCTCTAGCAGCAGTCCCCTGGCTGTCAGAGAGCAAGGACATGGGCACCTCATATACAAAGAACTGTATTCTGCACAACCCAAATGAGCCTGGAAGTAGAATTTCTACAGACCTTCCAGATAAGAGCCAAGAGTACACCTAGATTTTGGCATTGTTATATCCTGAATAGAAAAACCAGTTGAGCCTGGCCCAGACTTGTGACCCACAAAACTGAGCTAATAAGTGGATTTTGTTTTAACTTGCTAAGTTTCCGGCACTTTGTTACAGCAGCAAGAGAAAATTAATACAGAGGCAAAGGCAAGAAGTCAAGGCAAAGTGAGAGACAGAGTGCTGAATCCCATAACCATTTTGGTTTTGAGAATAATAATAATTCTGTCTGTGACATAGCTGGCCAAAGGAAACCCTCCAGAAGACTATCATGTTGATAGCAACAGGATGGCACTTTGTGGTAGTCATCTGATTTGCAGCCATTGAAGCAGCAGCTTTGAAAAAAGAGGAAAGTAGGAAAACAACAAAACTTAAATTTTGATCTTAAGACAGAGTAGAAGAAAGGGAACAAAACAATGAATTACAGCTATATACTGCTAGGTCACCATGTTCACCTCTAAGTATGATGATGTCCTTTCCTTTACCTTGTTTCAGTATTTACTGCTGCAAAACAACCAACCCCAAAATTTAGTATCTTAAAACAACTATTAATCATCTCCCAGGATTCTGAAGCTAGTTGGGATGTTCTATGTAATGAGCTTAGAAAGCTGAAAATGTCCACAATGATCTCACTCACATGGCTGGAAAGTTGCTGTTGACTGTTAGTTGGGAGCTTAGCTGGACCTACTGACCATTGCCTTGTTATTTTTTTTTCCTCTGGGCCTAGGTTCGGTCTTGTACAAAATAGTGATTGAGATTCCAGAGGAAGAATCTCAAGAGGACCAATCCAAACGTGCAAGTACTTATCAAGCCTCCACTTGCATCATGGTTGCTAATATCATATTGGCTAAAGTCACTCAGATGTCCAAGCCCAGAGTCAAAGTGAGAAGGAAACAGATCTCATTTCATGATAGAAGTGGCAGGTACACACGAAGGGATGAATTGCCAAGGGCTACTTTGGGACCGGCCATTGCACACCACTTCTTCATATTTCACAATCTCACTTCACCGCTTTCATGCCATGAAACAAATATCAAGTCTTTTGCCAAGAAAAGCATTATAGTGTTTTCTCACTTATTAGAGATTTAACATGTTTAAAACTGTGATCACATTTTTACTTTAAGTGGGTTTTGTGTGTAATCCATGAAATTATATGGATTTGGACGGTCTGCTATGAACACTATTTTCCCACAGGCCCTATAATCTTTATTATAAAACATTTCCATAATATGGTGCTTTTAAGGAAGCAAAAACTCTAAAAGAAAGATTGAAGGACTATTCTATGAAACTTTTTTTCTTATTCATGTGTTTTTTTCCTCCTCTAATGTTTAGAGATAGTTTTTTTTTTAACATCTAATATAGCCTTTGCTAGTGGTCTTCTTTGAGTTTTACTTCTCAATATGGCTAAAGGTAGGTCAATTTTGTTGATATTTTCATAGAACCAACCCAAGTTCAATTGATTTTTTTCCTGCTGTTTTTCTATTCTCTATTTTATTTATATCCATCAAACGTCAGACCTTCAAAATATATGATGCAAATATTGACAGAACTGAAGGGGGAGACAGCTCAAAATAATAGTTGGAGACCTCAATAATCTACTTTCAATAATGGATAAAACAACCATACAAAGATCAATAAAGAAAGAGAGGACTTGAACAAAAAGAATTTGACCTAACAGACATGGACAGAACACTCCGCCCAACTGAATACCCAAGAATACACATTTTTATCAAGTGTGCATGGAATATTCTCTGGAAGAAACTTTATTATAGGCCACAAAACAAGTCTCAGTAAATTTAAAAGGGCTGCAATCATACCAGGCATATTTTCTCATCACAATGGAAGGAAACTAGAAATTGATAAAATGGAATGAAAATAGAAATCAATATATTTAAATTAAATACCACACTCCTAAACAACCAATGGTCAAAGAAGAAATCACATAGGGCCAGCCCGGTGACGCAGCAGTTAAGTTCGCACGTTCTGCTTCTGGGGCCCAGGTTTTGCTGGTTTGGATCCTGGGTGCAGACATGGCACCACTTGGCAAGCCATGCTGTGGTAGGCGTCCCACATATAAAGTAGAGGAAGATGGGCACAGATGTTAGCTCAGGGCCAGTCTTCCTCAGCAAAAAGAGGAGGATTGGCAGCAGATGGTACCTCAGGGCTCATCTTCCTCAAAATAAATAAATAAATAAAAATTTTAAAAAAGAAGAAATCACATGGAAAAATTAGATATTATCTTGAGACAAATGAAAACAAAAATACAACATGATGCTTTTTTTATAGGAGTCAGTAGAAGTCATGCTCAGAGGAAAGTATATAGGTATAAATGCTTATATTAAAGAATAAAGATCTCAAATCAACAGCCTAAATTTACGCCTTAAAGAACTAGAAAAAGTACAAACTAAACCAAAAGCTAACAGAAAGAAGGAAATAATAAACATTAGAGCAGAGGTACACAAAGCAGAAGAGAAAAACTATAGAGAAAATCAATGAAAGCTGAAAGCAAGGGTTGGTTCTTTGAAAAGATCAACAAAATTGACAAACATTTAGCTAGATTGACTCAGAAAAAAGATAGAAGATTCAAATATCTAAAATCATAAATGAAAGAGGGAACATTACAACTGATTTTTGTTGGACGAGATCATCAAGTGGCTGTGAACACCGGTTGACTTGAGAGCTGGACTGAGGCAATCAGAATCTCCTCACCCGCTTCCCTGTCCTTGGAATGCATGTTCTGCCCACTGTTTCCACAGTAGGTGCTACTTCAAGAATGCAGACTTGAGAGAGTAATGTGTTGTTGAGACCATATGGACGGTACACATGACTCAACTCCATCAAGACATCTACATAAACTTTCAAGATTCTGGCGGGTAAGTATGGAGATCTACTTGCCTTGTGGCTGCCCAAGACAAGCCTCACATGTAAGTCCTCCTGCTTATTAAACCTGCCACCTACCAATCTGGAGTGTCTGTCTCTTTCTTCAGGGGGCCAGTTTTGGATTTCACCTGGAGAACTCTTGAGGTTGCAAACTAACAATTTTGCAGACTTAAAAAAGCTAATAAGAAAATAGTATGAAAATTGTACTCCAACAAATTATATAACCTAGGTGAAGTGGACAAATTCCTAGAAACACACAGCCCACCAACACTGAATCATGAACAGAAAATAAAAACAGGCCTCTAACTAGTAAGGAGATTGAATCAGTAATCAAAAACCTGCCAACAAAGAAGAGCTCAGGACCAGATGGCTTCACTGGTGAATTCTACAAAACATTTAAAGGAAAATTAACAACAATCCTCCTCAAGCTCTTCCAAAAAAGTTGAAAAGCAGGGAATGCTTTCAAACTCATTCTATGAGGCCAACATTATCCTGATACCAAAGCCAGACAAAGACACCACAAGAAAAGAAAACTACAGACCAATTTTCCTGATGAATATTGATGCAAAAATTCTCAAAATACTAGAAAACTGAATTTAACAGTATATTGAATGAATTATGCACCATACCAAGCAGAGTTTATTCCTTGAATGCAAGGAATTGTAACTGTGCATTGTTGGTTGATTAGGGTTAGATAAGGTCATGAGGGTGTGGCTTTCATGATAGGATTAGTTTCCTGATAAGAAGAGAAGGAGAGACCAGGGCTCTCTCTCTCTGCCATGTAAGGAAACAGCGAGAAGGAGGCCTTCTGCAAGCCAGAAGGGAGCTCTCACCAGGAGCCAAATAAGTTGGCACCTTGATCTTGGACTGCCCAGAACTGTGAGAGATAAATGCCTGTTGTTTAAGCCAGCTAGTCTATGATATCTTGTTATAGCAGCTCAAGCTAAGACAATGGTTTAAAAAGAAAGTAGAAAGATATACAAAGAATTATAAATATTGATATTAGTAAGTAGGAAAATCAAGAAGGTGACAATAGGCAATCTCTATTTTCTATGTAATGAGGAAGACTGTGTTGTCTGCTGCAAGGAGAGCAAAGAGATCAATAGAGGGTTTGAATAAAAGTAGAGTAAGTTTAGAATACAAGGTTGGTATGTGTGAAAGAAACCCAAATAGGAACAAAAAAGTACTGAACCCATGTAAATGTCTAGGCAAGGTTGGAGTAGGGAAAGAAATCAGCAGTATAATCTTTTATGATCTTGTTTGGATATTTACGAAAGCCCACTGAAAAGCATACTGGTGTGTGATAGAATTAATTCCGAGATGTCCTTCTTTAACAAAATGTATTAGAAGTTATGTCTATCTGAATTTGCTAAAACCTGAAAGTCCTTATTTATAATTAATGATTATTTCCAGGATCTACAGAGTCATTGAAAGCCTAGGACAAATTATATTGAACTCAATCACAAAACTGCAAGTATTACTCTTTGAAACTGTTCATGGCTGATAATAACAGCTACTATTAATTGAATGCCTTACCAGGTTCCAGGAGTTTTGCTAATTATTTTACATGTCTTAATTCATTTAATTCCTACAACTTTATAAGAGAAGTACTTTTATTACCAATTCATGTATGAAGGACCTGAAAGTTGTGGACTTTAACTTTATAATATCTAACATTTATTGGTTCTTTCCTTTATGTCAAACATTTTTACATGAATTACACTAAGTGGACCTATTATCTTATGAAGTGTTTCTAGTATGTGAATTTTACAAATAAGGAAACACAGGCATAAAGAGATTAGCAACAGTCCTGAGTCGTAGTGCAAGTAAGCTTTCTGCTAGGATTTGAGCCCAGACAGACTGACTCAGAGCCTACCTTTTGAATTTTGTTGCACTGATCCAAGGAGTGCAATATAGTACAGAGGCTAGATGAGATCTATACTTGGTTCTGAATCGTTCGTGCAACATCTGTTAACCCTATTTTAGTTGTAAGTTAGCTTTAATAAACTATTTCTTCAACTGTAATTTGTTGGAATGTTTTGAGAGTCCACTTTCAGAAAAACTTACAAGAGAAATCAGCAACGTGATTCTTAAAATTTCAATAGGCTGGGGTTTTCTGCTTACAAGCAAAGTGCATATTTAACTAAAAAGGGCCTACTATGAAAAATGACCTCAGTTTCCTTAAATAAGTATTCTTGACAAATGAATACTCTTATACATTGAAATATTAGGAAAAAAATCAGCTCAAGCTCCTTTATTGACAGATTAGAAAAGTAGTCACTAGTTGAGAATCAGTTACATGTACTGTGCCTGTGCCTGAACTCATCAGTGGTTCCCCCAATGTGAATACTTGAACATTTTTTGCAGCTTAGACAGAAATTATCATTTGTAGATACAAATGCTGTTGATTCTTAGTCATACTTTATTTCTCTAGATAGTATTTCCAATGGATTATAAAATGACTATTTCTTAAAATAGGTTGTTGAACTTCATTTCTACTCTTTATATGAAAATTCCAAACTAAGGAATTCCCCTAAGCCCACCTGCTAAGGTGGCACAGTGGTTAAGTTTGTGTGTTCCACTTTGGTGGCCTGGAGTTCGCCAGTTCGGATCCTGGGCACGGACCTATGCAAGCCATGTGGCATGCATCCCACATATAAAGCAGAGGAAGATGGGCATGGATGTTAGTCCAGGGCCCTTCCTCCTTAGCAAAAAGGGGAGGATTGGCAGTAGATGTTAGCTCAGGGCTAATCTTCCTCAAAAAAATAAAAATAAAAAAATAAAAGCACAACTTTTACCCTATGCTTATCTCTCCCAAAATTGCTCTTTCTGTCTCAAAAGGTGGTGGCAGGACAGTGGGGCTGAGGGGGTTGTAGTTATCTTGTGAGGTTTTTAATTTTTATTACCTGTTCCTTTATTCTTACCCCTTTCCTGGTTGCAAGTGACTATGGCCTCTCTCCACTGAGGAGTGGTAGGAACCATGAAATCCCCACAGCTTTAACAAATGGTGGTGTTCCTCCACACATTGTCTCCTTAGGCCTCTGCTCTATGGCTGGGTGCTGAAGAGAAGCGTTTGAAGGGGGTGCAGCCTCTCATGCTAGAGCAAGCTTTGCTACAGCATTTGGCCTTTTCCCTTCCACATGCTCAAAGATATTAACTCTTTTCACTCTCAGCCTCCCAGACACACTCCCAGGCATATTCTCTTCCAGGAACATGGGAACATCCTCCGTGGCTTTCTTTGGGAGTGTTTCTTACCACCTCGAGGCCAGGCCTGTGACCTTCTCTGGGAGATCTCACAGAGAAACCACAATGTGCAGCTGTCAGTAAGGGGTCATCAGCTCTGCTCTCAGGGCTGTGGTGGAGCTATTTATGCAGGGGTTGCTTCTCCCTGGTTCCTGTTCTTACCAGACTCCAAAATTTACTTTCAACTACTTTCCCATTTCATGTAACCTAACTCTTTCATAACCATCAGCAGATTTATTTTTTCAAGGGAGACAGACAGATAGGAGGCATGCTACATGATGATCGAAGTTAAACCATAAATTCCCTTGTGCAAACTTAGGTTATCTCTAAGGCTAGAATAAATTATGTCATATACCCTTTGTGTTGGTCAGTTATACTAACGAATTCACCTTTTTTGAGGAAGATTAGCCCTGAGCTAACATCCGTGCCCATCTTCCTCTACTTTTATATGTGGCACACGTGCCACAGCATGGCTTGACATTTGGTGCATAGGTACGCACCTGGGATCCGAACTGCCAAAGTGGAACGTGTGAACTTAACTGCTGCACCTTTGGGCTGGCCCTGAATTCACGTTTTAAAAGTCAAATATTGCTTTACAAATAGGTTTATAAAAGGCTTATCATCTTACTACTTTTTCTTTACAATCTGTAATTTAATAATAAGAATTCCTTCTCTGGCTCATTACCATTTTAGGTTAAAGTAAATGCTAAATACTGAATCTCATAGCTATGCTCTTCTCCCTTGTTTTGATATAATGTTTAAAAATTATAAAGTCCAGGGCTAACCTGGTGGCATAGTGGTTAAGTTTGCATGCTCTGCTTCGGCAGCCCAGGATTCACAGGTTCAGATCCTGGGCATGGATCTGCACACCACTCATCAGGCCATGCTATGATGATGTCCCACATACAGAATATAGGAAGACTGGCACAAATGGTAGCTCAGGGACAATCTTCCTCCAGCAAAAACAGGAAGATTGGCAACAGAAGCTAGATCAGGGCCAATCTTCCTCACCAAATATATATATATAAAGTCCATGTCACTTTACCTCCAAGTCTTGCTCTGATGGAAATGTCTGATGTCGCCCTGGAGTTCCATCTCCTGTCTTGTTTTAGTTCTTCTAATAAAATTTTTTGCCTTTTAAGTGTCGTTTGAAATCCTGTGTCTGGCCTGGGAACTCGATGTTGAGGTTTCACATCACTGAAATCCATCAGGCTTGGTATGGTTCTGCCAACTCCAGGTTTTAAGTCAGCATCACCACCAGGACTCAAAAACCCTGAACAGGAATCACCTAAGGGTACATCATCCTGAAGTGGAAATAATGGATAATCTGGTCCATACGGTGGGGGATAGGGATGGTGTAAATGATAGTCTGGCAGGACCGAAGGGGGATAAGGATGAAATTTAAGAAATGTAGGGTTGCATTTCTTTTCAATTCTGCCATAGTCATGTCTGTCCTCAACTCCTTTCACAAAAGGCATGTTCATTTTTCTTAAGAGATGACAGTAGTGTGGGTAATCTCTATTTTCAACAGGCTTTATTCCTGAAAGGATGAACCTTTCAGAGATACTTATCTTTCCAGGTGTGTGCTGTGAATCCATATCCTTGGCTTTCCTCTTTAGAGTTATGGATGACTGTAAATTGAGTGCTTCTGACTCCTTTCTTTTTAACTATAAAACTCTTATATTTCCAATAATTGAGGATTGGTCAATCTAACATAAATTTACTGATCTAGCTTTGAAAATTTTGATCAAGTGGGTTTTGTTTCTTTTTAAGGTAAATATTTTTCCCCACCAAAGTAAGTAAAGGGTAGTAGGGTACCAGGACAGAAAAAACAAAACAAGACAGAGCCCTTGTTGCCTGGCAACAGTTAGAACTGTGACACATTGTGCCATTTATTATATACATCATAATTTAATTCTTAGGAAACACAAAAATAGCCTTGTTAGTAATATTTCCATGATAGTTTCCTACCCAATGCTTGGGAAAACTGTGCTTGTTATTTCTAAATTTTTCCATAAGTTAATATTGTATAGGTACATGATATCCAGTAAAGAGTATAAATAAATCAGTTAATTAAGTGACAACATGCGTGGTTTTTTTTTCTTTTTTGCTAAGGAATATTCTAACATCCATTGCCAATCTTCCCTGCCTCCCATGTTTTTATGTGAGTCACCACCCCAACATGGCTACCAAGAGATGAGTGGTGTAGGCCCACTCCTGGGGAATGCACAGAACTTAACCACTAGGCTACTGGGCCTCGCCCAACAATATGTTTTTTAAAAGTATATCTCTGACTGCAATTAAATATTTACCTTATAGATACAATAAAATAAAAAACTTTCTACCTAAATAAACATAAATTTAAATGCAGTGCCAAAAATGAGTATGTATTATACTAAGGTTAAATCAATGTTCCTAATTCTTTAATAACTTGCCATCTATAGTCAAAGCACAGGTTCATCTTTTACGTGTCCTAAATTATCCTTACTTACCTTTTGCCATCACAACGTCCAGAGAAGAGCAACGAGGGTCTAAAACTATTTCAGAAAACTACAACTGGGCATAAGCTATCAGCTTACATGCAAAAAAAGATTTCATCAATATAGTGTTCATTTAAAAGCTCATTTCAACTAGATAATTTGGTCTTGTGGGAAAATCACTACGAAAGGAATTCCAAATATTAGAATTTGGGCACAAGAGTTCACACTATCCCTACTACAGTGAAATATGCAAACATGAATGACAGTCCTACTTTCTTTCTGATTTTCAGCAATCAGAATTCTATTGTTATGATCATACTACACGTTAACTAAGATCTCCAATATTACATTCTAGTCTCAGGTTGAATATTAGGAATTTACACAGTAGATCAAAGCAGGAGGGACTAATGAAGTGAAGAAAATTCTTGAAGACAGAAAACAAAGATTACAGGATTTAGCATCGTCTGAACAGTCCTCTCCATCCTTTATTCATTAGATGTCCACAGTCAAAACTTCATTTGGTAAAAATCATATTGTGCAGGTTTACTTGTTTATAAAAATTAAGAGGCATTATAGGGGAATATATACCTATACAAACATAATGATTGATCAGACACTTCAGTAAAATATATGTTTACTACATGTGCTCAAAGGAACTACAAGATGTTGGCAAAAATGCTGGCCAGATCCAAATCATTCACGTTGCTCTTTAGTAAAACAAGCCTAACCAGGTTTAATTTAATTCAAGACACAATACAGATTAGAAAGAATTTCTGAAGAAGTGATCTACCCAGTGGAATCAACTGGACTGTACATAGTTTACTGAACAATTAACACATGAATAAAAATAGCCAGAAAACTCAAGGAATATGCAGAAACTTCTTCAATTTACTTTGTTATTAAGAACCAAGGACTTCTTGGGATATTTATATAATCCTTAAGAAATGTCTTCACCCTGGTCCTGGTCCAGAAAGAGCCCTGATTCCTTTCTGCTTGACGTCTTTTTAAATTCATGCCTATTTGAATACCTACTATATGCCAAGAACTGTCGTAGGAGTTGAGGTTAAAATGGTGGCAAAACAGACAAGATCCTAGTTTTGAAGAGCTAGGCACACTATATGTAACTTGGGCCAGCTGTAAGATAGCAAAGGGCAGTGACATCTGTGGTGTAACCAGAATACACCTACAGGCATTAAATCTTTGAGACACACTACCAAACAAGTGGGGAGGGTGAAGTAGGTGGTCAGGCCGTCAGTTTGAAGTCCAGTATACCCAGGATCATTCATTTCTTCCTTTTAAAGGTGACAATACACATTGTTATTAGGCATTCTGTCTTCGGGTACTTAAACTTCATTCTTCAATGTATTTGCACCAACTACTTACAATTTATTTCTATTGTAGCTCTGTTCCTGTTAAGTAAATCCTTCTGGCTGCAGAAAAGCAGAGGCAAGATTCTCTTTAACACATTCTGGCTATAAATGCCCTCTTAGACTATTAGGTGGTTTTATATATTTTTCTGAACTTAGTTGAGAAAAGATGATTTTCCAGGCCGAGCGTTGAATGAAAGTCAACTTCGTCTAATGTTGTGTCGTCTTTTCTTCCCACTAAGCTTCTTCCTGGGGCTAAAGCCCTTACTTTGAACTCCACTTGGTGAGTTGCATGTAGCTCCCAATTAAGTTTCATACATCCATAAAGTACTAGTAGCTCACATTACGAGATCCAGGCAACCCTCTGAGGGCTGAACGTGTATTAATTCACTTAATTTTCACCACCTGTTATTCAGGATTGCCCTCCTCATCCCCATGGCAGACTCAGTGTACCACCTGGCTTATGAAAAGGGCTTCCCTCGTCCCCATAAACGCGTACACAAAGGTAAAAGCGCAGTAAGGCGGCTCGCGCTTCTCCCCCAGGGGCAGAATCTTCCACAGATCACTCTCCAGGATTCCCCGACCAGCAGCGTGGTCCCGAAGGCACAGTCGACGCTCAGCACCACAGGCCAGCTTGCCCTCCGCAGGCGCCAGGCGAACCCGCGTCTCAGTCACCACGCAAACACGGCCCAGCACCCACTCTGCCCTGGCGAAAGTGGAGGCCCATACTTCCGGCCGTTCTTCCGGCGGCTGCCCGCCAACTTCCGGCGGGCGGGTGGGCGCGCGCCGCCTAACGACCTTCTGCGCGGACGGTCGGCCGGCGGCGGCGTGCGGATGGAGGGCTCGGCCCCCGGCCTGGCGCGGCGGGGTTGGCGGCGGGCCCCGGCCGCGGGCTCCCCGCTCTCCTGGGCCGCGGTCGTCCTCCTGCTCTCCGCCTTCATATTGCGGGCGCCCCCGTCAGGTGAGGCGTCGGCGCCGCCGCTTCCGAGATTGGGGTTTGCTGTGTCACGTGCACCCGTGGGTATCAAGAAGCGTTGTACTCACGATGCCTGACAGGAGAGCTTTCCTTTAATAGAAGCCGCGCAGAGGAACCTATATCTACATAGGAAATCAGGCGACTGAAGAAATTACTAACGTATAGACACAAGAGATCATTCAAACACCCACAGTTCAAACTTTAAAGTTAAATTGACTGTTAATAAAATCTCTATTCAGTCCGTGGGTCATTTGCCAGCTTTCGGCCTTGTTTTGTGCTCAGTTTTTCAGTATATTTCAAAATGAGTGGGCATCCCGCTGCTTTGTGATTATCCATGATCCTGAAGCTCCATCTATTGGGCTTAGGTATAAAATACAGGAAAGACTGGGCTTTCAAAGTTGTGACATTTTACTGACGCCATTTGTTTCCTTCTTTGTATCCAAGGAACCGAAGAAATACTTTTCCATCTTGCTTTCAAGACAGATTTTAGATAGTGATGAACACACACTGAAATGAGAGTTTAATTAAACTGGTGTCATTTTAGTAGAAAGTAATTATTTTGCGTTACTTTCTGTTCAATTTTTGACTTTAAAAAAATAATCTCCCAGAATTGAATAATAATAAGCACAGAAGAGAGTTGTTTAAAAGTTGGTCAAATAAGGGAGATTGAGAAAAGAATTTCTCCAAGGATATAAATGTAGAAGGGCTGCGAAGATAGGCGTGGGATAAGGAGGAAAAAGGAAAGAAATGGAGAAAATAGACATTACAAGATACGCTAAAATTTGTTTATCAGAAGTTCAAAGATCATTCCTTTGGTATGAAGAGAGAAGAGTTAGTAACCGTTAATTACCCTGTAGGAGAAGGATGCTTCTGGACCATGATAGGGTGTATGTGTGCTATGTTTTGATCCAATAACAAGATCAGACCTGATGGATAAGAAATAGAATAAGCAGGCAATATCTTAATATTAAGCTATAAATAGTAAAGACTAGTATTTATATTGCATTTTATAGTTTATACAATATTCCATTCAGTTCCTACAATAACTCTGTTAGTCTGGAATGTAGTCCCATTTTGCAAATGATTAAACCAAGGCTCCTAGAATTTAATGTGACTTTCTTAAGATCAGTAAGTGGCAGTCAGGATTGAAACTCAAGCTTTCTGACTTTGAATACCATACTCTTTTCTATACGCATTACTCCCTGTCTGTTAAAGGTTATTTGGGTATATGCTTTATTGCATTTTTATACTGCTCCTCCTACTTGTTCTGTGCTCACTATTATGTCCATCATATTTGCTTATTCAATGATGACTGAAGAATATCAATTTATCGTATTTAACAATTATTATTTAGTATTTACTATGTGCGAGATATAGTGCTTGGTACTGATTCTTGATAAATTGACATAAAGACTGATCCTACTATCAATGGAGTTTATAATCTAGTAGGAAAATTAGGTATGTGCATAAAGAACAATAATACAATGTAGAGTGAGTGTTGTAAGAGAGGTGCTGATGATGTACTGTGGAAAGTAAGAAATGATAAAGACAAACAGAAGATTTGAAGGAGGGACTTGTGGTTTGAGTCTTGAAGCGTGGAGGATTTGAACTTTTAAAAATGAAGAGAGTATTCTAAGTGAATGTAGAAAAAGCCAGAGGCGAGATATGATCGGGGGAAGCAGTGGGTAGATTAATTTCACTGGCACATATGAGGGGAGTAGAGTTGGACTGGAGATACCAGATGTCAGAGGAGCTTGATTTATGGTTCTCCCCTTCAACCAAGATCAAATATACTATGATACTCTACTATTAGAGTATATTAGAATTTCTAATGAGGCAGATTGTTGAACATTTCTTTTCTTTTGTTTTTAATAGTTGGATATTTGATTCACTTACCAAGAGGTTTCAGCTTGACCCAAGATTTGGTGAAAATAGTGGGATCACCAGATTTTCCAGGTATTAATAAATGTATTTCTATAGCAAATATAATATATATAATAAATAGTAATTTTAAGAAAGCAATTAGCATATGTTTAAATTGTATCAATCTTGTCCAAAAGGCTAAAATTCCCCAGTTATCTTGGTCTCCTAAGGGCCTTTCTCGTCTATGAAAATGAGTTAAAGTTGTTTCCATATAGTTAAATTCATCCAGGTCCAATTCTGTTTGCTGTAATTGCTTAAGTGTGAAAAAAAATAATTTCTCTAAGTTATCTAATTAAAGTTGGCTATAGTGGTTTTACTTATTACTACATAATAATTAGCTACAATATTAAATGTATGCAGTTCAAATATGGTAAAACTTTTTTCGAATGAGATCTGTATATCATGAAAATTTGGGGTTCACAAGCTTTTGCAGTAGTCATGTGAGGCATAACTACAACTTTTTTGTATTTTTTTATTGAGATAAATTCAATACCTTAAAATTCCTCCTTTGAAGTGTACAATTCAGTAGTTTTTAGTGTACTTAAAAGGTTGTGCAACCATCAGCACTATGTAATTTCACAACATTTTCATCACTCCAAAAAGAAATGCCATGCCCATTAAGCAGTCACTCTCCAGCCCCTGGAAACCACTAATCTACTTTCTGTCTCTATGAATTTGCCTATTCTGGACATTTCATATAAATGGCATCATATGCTATGTAGTATTTTGTGTCTGGCTTCTTTCACTTAGTATAATGTTTTTGAGGTTCAGTTATGTTATAGAATGTATCAGTACTTCATTTTAATGGCTGAATAATATTTCATTTTATGGATGTACTCCTTTTGTTGTATCCATCAACTGATGGATATTTGGGTAGTTTCAGTTTTTAGCTATTATGAATATGCTGTTATGAGCATTCTGTGATAAGTTTCTGTGTGAAATATGCTTTCAGTTCCCTTGAGTGTATACCTAGGAGTAAAGTTGCTAGGACACATGATAACTCTGTGTTTAACATTTTTGTGGAATTGCCAAACTGTTTTTTGGAAAGCCTGCATTAGTTTACTTTCACATCAGCAATGTAGGAGGATTCAAATTTCCAAGCATCCTTGCCAACATTTGTTATTGTCTACCGTTTTTAGTTATAGGCATCCTAATGTGTGTGAAGTGGATTCTCATTGTGGTTTTGATTTATATTTCCCAAATGACTAATGATGTCGTACCCCTTTTAATGTGTTTATTGGCCATTTGGATACCTTCTTTGCAGAAATATGTCTATTCAAGCCCTTTACCAGTTTTTAATTATCTTTTTTATTATTGAGTTGGAAGAGATTTTTAAAATGTAGTCCAAATACTAAACCCTTATTAGATATTTGAATTGCATATATTTTCTCTCATTCTGTAGACTGTTTTATCACTTTTTTAATAGTGTCCTTTATAACATATTTTAAACTTTGATAAATTCTAATTTTAATTTTTTCTTTGGTACTGGTGCTTTAGGTGTCATATCTTAGAAATGATTGCCCAATCAAGAGTCACAAAGTTTTACTCCTACGGTTACTTATAAGAATATCATAGTTTTAGCTCTTACATTTAGGTCTTTGATGCATTTTAAATTAATTTTTGCATATGGTCTGAGGTAGGAGTCAAACTCATTCTTTCGCACGTGGCTATCCAGTTGTTCCAGCACCATTTGTTCAAGAGACTTTTTTTCTCTATTGAATTGTCTTAGTGCCATTGTTGAAAAGCAGTTTACTATACATTTATGGGCTTTTTCTGGACTCTAAATTCTATTCCACTGATCTATACGTCTGTGCTTGTGCCAGTACTGTCTTGATTATTTGAAATCGTTGTGTGAGTCCTTCAAATTTGTTCCTTTTCAAGATTGTTTTGGGTATTCTAGGTCCTTGCAATTCCCTAATAATTCTATAATCAGCTCGTCAATTTCTGTAGAAAGGCCATTGAGATTTTAATAGGGATTGCATTGAATCTGTACATCAATTTCAGAAGTATTACCACCTTAACAATATTAAGTTTTCCAATTCATGAACATGGAGTGTCTTTCCATTTAAGTCTTCTTTAATTTCCCTTGAAGATGTTTTGTAGTTTTCAGTGTACAAGTCTTGCACTTCTTTGTTAAATTTATTCCTAAATATTTTAGTCTTTTTGATGCTATTGTAAATGGAATGGTTTTTGTAATTTAGTTTTCAGATTGCTCGTTGCTATTGTATAGAAATACAATTGAGTTTTGCAATTTGATGTTGTATTTTGTCACCTTACTGAATCATTTATTAGCTCTGTTTTTTTTTAGCTTGTGTGGGGGAATTATTCCTTGGGATTTTCTATATATAAGATCATGTCATCTGCACACAGAGAGAGTTTTATTTCTTCCTTTCCATTCTGAATGCCTTTCTTTTTTTCTTGTCATTTGCTCCAGCTAGAACCTTCAGTTCAATATTGATGATAGCAGATATCCTTGTCTTATTCTTGATCTTAGTGGGAGGGAAAGTTTAATTTTTCATTATTAAGTATGATGTTAGCTGTGGGTTTTTTGTTGATGCCCTTTATCAGACTGAGAAACGTCCCTTCTGTTCCTAGTTTGTTGAGTTCTTTTATTGTGAAAGGATATTGGATTTTGTCAAATGCTATTTCTGAGTATATTGAGATTGATCATGTGTTTTTTGTCCTTTATTCTATTGCTATGGTATTGCATTGATTGATTTTTGTATTTTGAACTAGTCTTGCATTCCTGAGATGTATCCCAGTTGGTTATGATATATAATCATTTTTCATGCCACTGGATTTGGTTGCTAGTATTTTGTGGATTTTTTGGTCTATGTTCATAAGGGAAATTGGCCTGTAGTTTTCTTGTGGTGTTTTTGTCTGAGTTTGGTTCTAGAGTAATAGTGGCTTCATAGAATGAGTTGGGATGTGTTCCCGCCTCTTCTTAGTTTGTGAAGTGTTATTGTTAATTCCACTTTACTTGTTAGAATTTACTGGTGAATTCATCTGGTGCTGGGCTTTTCTTTGTGGAAAGTTTTTGATTACTAATTCAGTCACTTTATACGGTTTAGGTCTTTTCAGACTTTATATTTCATTATAGTTTCTGCTGAGAAATAAGCTCCTAATTTTATTGAGGATCACGTGTATGTAATAAGTTGCTTCTCTCTTGCTATTTTCCAGAGTCTGTCTTTGTTTTTGGATTTTGACAGTTGATTATGATGTTGTCTAGGTGTGGATCTCTTTGAATTTATCCTGGTTTGAATTCATTGAGCCCTTTGATGTGTAGATTCATGCTTTTATGAATTTTGGGAAGCTTTTGTCCATTTCATCAAATATTATTTCTGCCCCTTTCTCTCCACTCTCCCATGGACTTTCATTTTATATATATATATATATAATGAATATATATGAATATGTATAATGAATATATATATACTGACATGTTTGATGGTTTCCCACAGGTCTCTGATTACTGTCCACTTACCTTTATTCTTTTTTTCTCTCTTTCTCAAATTGGATTATCCCAAACTGATCCATCTTTAGGTTTATTGATTGCTGATTCTTTCTTCTGCCTGCTCAGATCTGCTGTTGATTCTTATTATTTATTTTTTTTAGGAAAATTAGCCTTGAGCTAACTGCTGCCAATCCTCCTTTTTTTTTTTTAAAGATTTTTTATTTTTTTCCTTTTTCTCCCCAAAGCCACCCAGTATATAGTTGTATATTCTTCGTTGTGGGTCCCTCTAGTTGTGGTATGTGGGATACTGCCTCAGCGTGGCTTGATGAGTAGTGCCATGTCCACCCCCTGGATTCGAACCAATGAAACACTGGGCCGCCTGCAGCAGAGAGTGCAAACTTAACCACTGGGCCACGGGGCCAGCCCCCAATCCTCCTTTTTTTGCTGAGGAATGCTGGCCCTGAGCTAACATCCGTGCCCATCTTCCTCTACTTTATATGTGGGACGCCTACCACAGCATGGCTTGCCAAGCGGCATCATGTCCGCACCTGGGATCCGAACCGGTGCACCCCGTGCTGCTGAAGTGGAACGTGCGCACTTAACTACTGCACCACCGGGCAGGCCCCTGTTGTTGATTCTTTTTTTTTTTTTTTTTTGAGGAAGATTAACCCTGAGCTAACTACTACCAATCCTCCTTTTCTTCCTGAGGAAGGCTGGTCCTGAGCTAACGTCCATGCTCATCTTCCTCTACTTTATACGTGGGATGCCTACCACAGCATGGCTTTTGCCAAGCCGTGCCATGTCCGCACCCGGGATCTGAACCAGCGAACCCTGGGCTGCTGTGAATTGGAATGTGCGAACTTAACTGCTGCGCCACTGGGCCGGTCCCCCCTCTTGTTGATTCTTGATAGTGAATTTCTCAATTAAATTGTAGTTTTTAATCAAAAATTTCTTTTTGGTTCTTTTTAATAATTTCTGTCTTATTGACGGTTTTTGTTTGGAGAGACATCATTTTCATACTTTTGTCTAGTACTTTAGATGTGATGTTCTTTGATCATATTTAAAATAACTGATTTAAAGTCCAAATTTTGGACTTCCTCAGGGAGTTTCTATATTGCTTTCTTTTTTTTCTGCCTGTGACTATACTTTCTTGACTTTTTGCATGTCTCATATTTTTGGTTGGAAACCGGACTTTTTAAGTAATGTAATATAGCAACTCTGGAAATCAGATTTTTACCCCCTCCCAGGTATTGATGTTCTTGCTATTTGTTGTTATTGTTTGTTTTGTGACTTTTCTGTACTAATTCTATAAATTATGTGTTCTTTGTCATATATAGCCACTGATATCTCTCCTGTTAGCTTAGTTAGGCTAGTGATTACACAGAGATTTCACCAAATACCTAGAACCAGTTAGTCTCCTAGTCTTTGCTGAGGGTCTTTGTGTGCTTGTCGTGGCATACCTTAACAATTTAGCTGGGCAGTTGACAACTCTCCCTTATCCTTTACTTTCTGCTGTGCAAATTCTCAATTTCAGCCAAAGGAGAACTTAGTCAATCTTTACTCTCTCAGTCTTTACCAAGCCTGCCCAGTCCCGGGCATGTGCCCTGTCCTGTCCATTCATGTCGCTTTCTGTTTTCCCGGGAACACATCAGAACTTTTTGAAGCTCCCATGGACATGTCATTCCCCAGCTTTTCCTCTTAATCTTTTTAGTTAACCTGTTGTTAACCCCAACTGTTACCCTCTGCATCTGGCAGTTACAAAGTTAAATGATAGCCTTTAGTTGTTTTTGACAAATACTCTTGGGGAAAAGGCTTTTTGAGTTGCATACTCTGCCATTTTCACTAATATCACAACTTTTATCACAGCTTGTTTTAAAACCACAACTTTTAAACCTAAATTACAAATTCAACTTTTAAAACTAAATTATGTTCAGTTCAGCATGTATTTCTTGTATCACAATGTAGATTGTTTTGATATTTTACTAGTCATGCCTCCATAAAATGCTGACTGCCTAAATTTTCTTGCCTAGAATTTCTTCAGTTTCTTCTGTCATGCAAGGTTCCAGCATCTGTCCATGTCAGCTGTTTTTCTATTCTGTGATGCCCTCTTTAACTTGTTCACCTTTTACTTATTCTTTTCTGTTCAGTTAGTCTTCTTTTTCATTCACTCATATATCCATTCTATTCAGTAATCATTTATTTACATCTTTGTTGCAATTTCAATTCATTACATTTTTTTTGATGTGTGTGATGAATACCATTTTGTATATTTCTTTTTGTACCTGTTCATAAGTTTTCTGGGTCTGTTATATCCAAGAGTAGAAGTTTATCCTCATAGGACCTAGCGTTCTCAATCTCATTAAAATTGTTCTTCAAAATGGCTGTCCTGGTTTATGCTTCCACCAGTGGTGCTTTTCTCGCATCCTCATCAACACGAGATGTTACCCAAGTTTTCCATTTTTGCTAAACTGACAGTTAAGTTGCCTCTGCTCATCATTTTCTTGCTTTTTTCAAAGGAGTTGCTTTCATATTATGTGTATTCCAGTTTTAAATCCATTATTGATTATCTTTGTTGCAGATATCTTCTCCTAGATGTCAAGTTAGTCGTGCTTTTTCATTCCAGATGTTAACTTTGCTTATCTTGTATAGGATTGGACAGAAATTGTTAATGTTTAAGGAGCTGAGTTCAGTATTTTTCTTTTTATGTTTGTGCTCTTTGCATTAAAAGAATCCTTCCATATTGCAAAGACAGAAAAGTATTATTTTACATTTTAAAAAAATAATGATTACTTTCAATTCTTTAGTCTATTGAATTTATTATTTATGGTGTGAGGTATAAACATAATTTCAACTTTATTTATTGAGATAATTTTTAAACATTTTTATTAATAATCTATATTTTATCCAGTGGCCTAAGGTGCCACTCTTATCATATAGTAGTTTTTTTATACTTGTTTTTTTCCTTTAGGTCCACTCTTCTTTGTTCCTACAACAGAACACTCTGTTATACTTAGCATAACTTTGTAATTTATCTTAGTAATTTATAATGCTAGTCCCTCCTCCTTGCTTTTCTTTTATAGAATTGTCTTAGCTAATTATGAATCTTTAATTTTCTAAATATATTTTAGAATCAGTATTTAAGAGTTTCTTTAAAAATTTCTCTGAGATTTTGGTTATAACTATATTAATTATATATATCAGTATGAGGATAAATTGCCATCTTTAAAATTATAAGTGTACACTCTTGATTATGGCATTGTGGTCTAATTGTATATGTTTTACTGGAGTCCAAACATGTTCCCCATAATGGACTTGTGATCATAACCATAAATTGTCTTCTGTTTATTCTCTAAATGTTGTCTTCTTTCCTGTTACATAGTTTAATGCATTATTATTGGTGTAGAGGAATGTTTTCTATTTTTGTATGTTGATATTGGAAAACTCTTCTGGAATCACTTTTATTTTCTATGATTTAAATATGTACAGAGGTTAGTGGGGGGCTAAAGGAAGGGCACAGTAATGGCATGGGATAATTGGACTGCCCCAGCCAGAGCAGAAAGGATATACTTGTGCTGAACTTCCAAAGATGAGGAGATGTTTAGGTCCTTACCTGAGTAAAACCATAGAAGAGTGGTTCAGTGTGCTACCTTAGGGAGGTCTCAGTAGTTTGGCATGGTCAGGGCAAAGGGTATGAAAAGAGATGTCACAGGTCATGGAGAGGAAGGCCAGTAAGTCATGCTGAGGAATGACGATTTTATACAATCAGCATTGATTAGACAAGTTAGAAAAAGGAAGAGTTTAAACTGAGGTAAGTAGGAAAGAAATAAGATGAGAAATTAGTGAAAGAGACCAAAGAAGAAAAATAGGTTGAATGGAACCAAAACTGTCTTTGGAATCGTTAGTAGACAAATTTTTGATAAGTATATTGCTAGAATAACAAAGTACAAAAAAATGTTACGAATAAATAAAGATATAGTGAAGTTTGAAAATCATAACAATATTCTGAATAATTTTATACTAATAAACTTGAATAACTCGTGAAATATTAATTCTTAAAATATGCTGGATTAAATTACTTAGTAGACTAATAGTCAATTAAATTCTCCTGATTGGTAATCAGAAATTTGTTTTTCCTACTCTCTACTTTTGCCCCCCCCCCCAAAAAAGTACAGCTATATGGTTTTTCAAGGACAAAAACACTTTCTGTATTCTTTCAGAGAAAATTTATAGAAGAAAATCTGTCCAGTTCATTTTATGAGCTGTTATAATCGTAGATGCCTACTTTAGTAATACTAAATGCTAAATAACTATTTTGATACCAAAATTGGAAAAGGACAAAGAATAGTATAAGAAAACTATATATTTGAATTTATGAATATAGGTACAAGTATTCCTATACTTTTGGAAATATACTTATACTTGAAAAATATTTGCAAATTGAATCCAACAGTATTTAAGTAAAAGAGCATGATCAATTAGAATTATGTCAGGAAAACAATTTAGTAATATTAAGCATTCCATTAAAATATTCAAGAAGAAAAAATGATCACCTCAGTGGAAATAGAAAAAAATGGCTGAAATTCAACAACAATTTGTGTTAAAAACAAACAACTAAGAATAGAGGGGAACTTTCTTAACCTAAGGAAGGGTTTCTATCTAAAAGTTACATTTAGTAAACATCATGCTTTATGGTGAAGCTTTAGAGACAGTCTTTTTAAAGTTAAGAATTTTGATTCTCAAAAACAGTTTATATTTTACTAGATCATAAAGATCTTTGTATATGGTGAATCAGTGAAGAGTTGGCCTGCAATTACTGAGGAGTTGTTGGAACCTTTTCTAAACTGAGTAAATTAGAAACAATTGAATCTCTACTGTGTTGCTTTTGTATATCCCAGAGAATACTATTTTTGCTTGTTTAAGGATCAGGATTCCTTAAATTTTAAAGTGAAGTGGGAAAAAATTCTTAATAATTAAAATTAATCAGCGCACGTACTTGTCAACTTCTTAATCACATAATTTTTAATTACAAAGTCTAGATATAGTATTATCTTAATGTTTTTTAATTAAAATAATATTCTGAGAATAAAATAAGTGTACGCGAACTTTGAATAAAAAAGACCAGCATTATGCTCGGATTGAGATACACGCACATGCCCAGATGAAATACATGTGTATATTTTTGAATGTTAGTTACATAGAATGCAGTGAAATTTAGTTCTTATCAAGTAATAGCTATAATCCAAAGAAAACTTATGAAAACCTATAACCTATTTTGTATAACTGCAAAAATGTAAGCCATTATGGGGCATTTAAGAATATAAAATATTATATTATTAACATTCTAATTTTGTATTTTCAGTGAAAGTATATGTTATGCTCCATCAAAGGAGTCCACACATGTTATGTGTAACCCAGCGACTGCGAAATTCTGAACTGATAGACCCATCTTTCCAATGGCATGGGCCAAGAGGAAAAATTGTTTCAGGTAGGATTTTGCTTCAGTTCTCGTAATTAAATTGATATATCTGAAGTGTACTCAGAACAGAAAGAATATTTGTATCTCATATACATTTACCTTTTTCCTCACTTCTTTTTCCTGTGATTTCCTTTTAGAGTTAGAATCTAACGAGGTAGATACTTTGACCATTTTTCACAGATCTTAATTTGAGATTGAGACACACTAGATGATTGAACTGTTTGGAGAGTTCTCTAAGCATCTATGTTGCAAAAAAATGTTACTTTTTTAAAGTTCATAAAATCATTTTGGTTACTTCAATCAGATTTTTGTTAGTAAAGTATATATGAAGAAGCAAATATATTTCTGGGTTTTGTTAAAAATACAAATGAACACTTTGACCTATAGATTTATATGGTCTTATTTGTTTAAACAGTCTTACATAAGACTTGAGACTTTGTTAATAGTTATAATTTTATATTTTGCTATCTTGTATTCCTTTCTGACCAGAATCCTGACCAAATAATATGGATCATATCTGAATTTATTTAAGTAGTATTATCCATTTTGGAAAAAAAATGACTAAATTTAACATTCAGTATTTTAGTATTAAAAACATTCTTTTAAATATACTGCATGGTTTGACAGTGGCTATATGTTAATATATTATCAATGCTGTGCTTACAAAAATGGACACTTAGGGCTCATTCATCCAAAGGACAAGATAGACTTGAGACACATCTGAATGGTAGCCTAACAGTTTTCAAATTTTTGAGAAAACAAAATCTTATTCTCAGGAAGGTATTTTTTTCCTCAAAGAGATTACTCTGGGTATGACTGATTTGATCAACATTTTCTCCATTCAGCTTCTTATTTTGTTATTTTGAAATGTTTATTTACTATCATTCTAATTTTTCATTTGATTTGTGTCTACAGCGTAGTTGAAAAAATTTAAATTAGTTTAGCTGTTTTTTTTTCAGCTTGCTAAAAATCCAGATTAATGAATTTTCATTGTAAAGACCTAATCATTTTTGCATACTTTCAAAGGAAATTTTTCTTTATTGCTCCATTCACCATGTTTTCTTTCTTTTTTTTTTAATCCTTATTGGTATTTTGAGATAGTGCCTATGGATGAAAACCGACAGGTTTATTTTGTTATCTTGGATGAAGGAAAGCAGCATATTCATACAAACTTGCTGAAGAAATTTTCATAGGAAGTATTTATTTTGTAATATGTTTTAATTCTTATTCTTATATAGTTGAGTGATCTCAGCTGTACATTTCTATAATATTTATGTTGCTTCTAAATTATCTCAAGGTTTAAAAAGTTACTCCACTCTTTGGGTTAGGTGGTTGTTCTTTAAAGTGAATTATTCAGCTCTTAGTGAGTGAGGGACTATTTGGTGGATGCCATTGTGCTAGGCTTTGTGGGAGTTACAAAGATCAGACACCATCTCTGCCTGACTGTGGTAGTGTAGTAGGAATGAATCAGTGGAAGTGAGTAAGAGAAATCCTAAGAGATTGGACAATTAATATAAATCAACGAAATGGACCAAATGTAAAAGCATCCAATACTGAAAATATAATCAATTTTTGTTTTTATTACTCTCTGATAGTAGCACATAATGTAGTGCAAACGTATATTAAATATATTTTACATTTGACATTGAAATTTCGTAAGTCCAGAAATGGAAGTATTTAAATGTGTATTGAATAGTTTATCGTAGTTTGTTACTCCTTTGATTTGGAAATTGAAATCTGAAACATATTCTTCTCAAAGGTGCCCTGTCAGGTCTTACTGTGTATATGCAAAATGTAGTATATAATTGAATTTCAAATCCTTTATCTGGGAGCGATATTTTATTTTACTCACTTTCACAATGGAAAATAGATGTTCAGAAATGTAGTTATTTCCAGGTAAGGATAAAATCATATTAATAAAATGGGCTTTATATTTATAAAAAATATTTCCAGGAAATTCTGATATTTGGGCCTGTAGTTTAGTTTTCAGTGCACTGTTGCCTCATGGTTTCCTGTCTACCAGTTTTAAAGCTCATTAGTTCTACCATCTATTATTTCAGAAAGAACTGAAAAATGTTGTCTAATTTTCTTAAAGCTTGAAAAACAGAGAACCTTTTTGAACTCTAGATTAAACTGTACTGTTCGTTAGTTGTCTTTTTATGAATATTCCAAAGATAGTTCCTCTAAAATTGAAGCAAAAAATCATGCAATTATGTAATTACTTGCACATTCCTTTGGAGAGAAATATTCAGATTGTTTAGATAGGTTGTAAAGGGTAAGGTACAAGTGTCAGATTTGGTCTGTCTCTTTCCCTTGTCCCACTTCTCTCTCTGTCTCTCTCTCTCTGTCTCTTTTTCAGTGTTTTGTATTTACAAAGGTAATGCATTTATTACGACAAGACCTGTACCTCTTTCTCCAACGCTGATGCTATTCTGATGAATTAACTCTTTTTGGCGTGGGGACTTCTCCATTTTTCTAAATGTTCACACAAACATGTATAAGCACATATACATACACATGTTGGGTTTTACCCTTAACTTCCCCCTTATTGTTTTAATGAGATAATAGATTATATTTACTCTACCTTAACATTTTTTATTATGAAGCATCGATAGACATAAATAAATGTAAGATACTTGCAAGTTATAAAGCACAGTAAAACAAACATCCTTGAATGTAGTGTACAAGTCAAGATATACCATTACCAAGACTGTTGAACTCCCCAATAATTTGTTTAAAAACCCCATTCATCTGTCCCCAACCCCCTGTCAGGTAAACACTATCCTCAACTTTTACTATATTATTCTTTAGCTTTTCTTTATACATTTACTATATTTATATATATATGTATGTATGTGTGTATCCTGCAGGAGTATATTTTAGTATTTTTATTTTGAATATTACAAAAATAATATTTATGTAATATTTGTCATGCATCATATACTGTTCTAAACAATTTGCACACACTAATCATTTAATTTTACAGCAGCCTTTGTGCTACGTACAGCCATTTTCTCCATTTTACATGTGACAGAGGCATTGAGAGAATGAGCTACTTCCCTGAAGTCATGTCCCTTTGAAGTCTTGCTTCAGAGTTCACAGATATAATCTAAATGAAGTAGGAATAGGAGTTTTCCCTCTCACCATTTTGTGAGTTTTTGTAGTTTGTGTCTTTCAAGGAATTTGTCCAACTTAGAGTTATTTTCAACTTGTTGAATTTATTTGCGTAAAGTAGTTTGTGATATTTCCTTATTGCCTTTTTGATATATCCAAGATATATATGATGTGCCATCATTCACTCCTGATATTGGTTATGTCTTTTCTCTTTCATTTTGGTCTCTCTGGCTATAGGTTTTCAAAAGAACAGCTTTTGGTTTGATTTATTTTTCTCTAGTATATTTTGTTTTCAATTTCTTTGATTTCTCCTTTTATCTTTATTATTTCCTTTCTTCTGTTTGCTTTGTGTTAAATTTGCTTGTTTTGTTTTGCTGGCTGTAGAATTCTGGATTGGCAGTTTTCTTATTTCAACATTCTAAAGATAACACTCTGTATTCTTTTTACCTGCACAGTTTCTAGTGTGAAGTCTGCTATAATCATATCCTTGTCTCTCCGTAGGCAGTGTGCCATTGTTTTCTGACTGACTTCAAGATTTTCTCTTTGCCTTTTATTTTCAATGATTTGAATATTATATGTGTCTTTTCTGTTTTTCATATTCATTCTCTTTACTCTTCTCTAAATTTCTTGGATCTGTAGATTGGTGTTTTTCATTAATTTTTAAAATTCTCAGCCATTATGTCTTCAGATATTTCTTTGCCACATCCTGTCTTGCCTCTGCTTCTGAGATTTCTAGCACACATGTGTAACTGACTTTGTGCCACAGCTCTTGTATTCTCTCTTCTTGATGTTTTGTTGTTGTTGTTGTTTTGTTTCATTTATCTCTTTGTGATTCAGGTTCGTTAATTTCTTTTGACCTACCTTCAAGTTCATTGATTCTTTCCTTAGCTGTGTCAAGCCTCTTTATCCCATTGAAGGAATACATCATCAGTCTTACTGTATTTCTTTTCTTTCTTCTTCATTTTATTTTGGTTATAGTTCTAGCATTTCCATTTGTTTCTGACATATGTATTATTTCTTATACAGGCATATGTCATTTTATTCTGCTTTGTGGATATTGCACTTTTACAGGTTGAAGGTTTGTGGCAACCCTGCATTGAACAATTCCATTGGTGCCATTTTCCAATAGCATTTGCTCACTTAGTGTCTCTGTGTCACATTTTGGTAATTCTCACAATATTTCAAACTTTTTCATTATTATTATATTTGTTATGGTGATCTGTGATCAGTGATCTTTCATGTTACTATCACAATTGTTTTGGGGCACTGTGAACCATGCCCATATAAGACAGCAAACTTCATCAATAAATGTCATTTGTGTTCTCACTGCTCCACTACCTGGCCATTCCCCAGTCTCTCTCCCTCTCCTTGGGCCTCCCTATTTCCTGTGACACAGAAAAATTGAAATTAGCCCAAATAAAAACCCTACAATGACCTCTCAGTGTTCAAGTGAAAGGAAGAGTTGCACATCTCTCACTTTAAGTCAAAAGCTGGAAATGATAAAGCTGAGTGAGGAAGGCATGCCAAAAGCTAAGACAGGACAAAACTAGGCCTCTTGTGCCAAATACTTAGCCAAGTTGTGAATGCAAAGGTAAAGTTCTTAAAGGAAATTAAAAGTACTACTCCAGGGAACACATGAATGATGAGAAAGCAGAACAGTCTTATTGGTGATATGGAGAAAGTTTGAGTGGTCTGGATAGAAGGTCACACCAGCCACAACATTCCCTTATGCCAAAGCCCAATCCAGAGCAATGTCCTAACTCTCTTCAGTACTCTGAAGGCTGAGAAAGGTGAGGAAGCTGCAGAAGAAAAGTTTGAAGCTAGCAGAGGTTCACTCATGAGGTTTAAGGAGAGAAGCCATCTCTATAACTTAAAAGTGTAGGTGAAGCAGCAAGTGCTGATGTAGAAGCTATAGTGAGTTATCCAGAAGATCTAGCCAAGATCATTAATGAACGTGGCTGCACTGAACAACAGATTTTCAATGTAGACAAAACAACTTTATGTTGGAAAAAGATGCCATCTACAACTTTTGTCACTAGAGAGCAGAGGTTAGTGCCTGGCTTCAAAGCTTCAAAGGCAAACTATGCCTCTGTTGTTAGGGGCTAATGCAGTTTGGTGACTTGAAGTTGAAGCCAATGCTCATTTTCCATTTTAAAATCTTTGGTCTCTTAAGAATTATGCTAAAGCTGCTCTGCCCATCATCTATAAATGGAACAACAAACTTGGATGACAGCACATCTGTTTCCAACATGGTACAATGTTTATAAAATTGAACAATATAATATGTTGTATAAATCTGTATACAGCCCACTGTATAAGCCATATATAACTATATATATAAATATATATATGTATACACTATAGATAACCCACACTATATAGGCCCTCTGTTGAGACCTACTGCTCAGAAAAAAAGCTTCCTTTAAAAACATTACTGCTCACTGACAATGTACCTGGTCACCCAAGAGCTCTGATGGAGATGTATAATGAGATTAATATTGTTTTCATGCCTGCTAATACAACATCCATTCTGTAGCCCATGGAAAAAGTAGTAATTTTGACTTTCAAGTCCTATTATTTAAGAAATACATTTTCTCAGGCGATAGCTGCCATAGATAGTGGTTCCTCGAATAGATCTGGGGAAAATAAATTGAAAACCATCTAGAAAGGATTTGGCATTCTACGTGCCATTAAGAACATTTGTAACTTATGAGTAGAGGTCAAAATATCAACATTGACAGGAACTTTGGAAGAGATGGATTCCAATCTTCATGGGTTCCAATCTTGAGGGGTTCAAGACTTCAGAGGAGGAGGTAACTAGATGCAGTGGAAATAGCGTGAGAACTAGAATTAGAATTGGAGCCTGAAGATGTGTCTGAATTTCTGCATCTCAAGATCAAGCTTTAATGGATGAGGACTTGCTTTGGAAGCACAAAGAAAGTGGTTTCTTGAGATGAAATCTATTCCTGGTGAAGACTCCATGAAGACTGTTGAAATGACAGCAAAGCATTTAGAATATGACATAGACTTAGTTGATAAAGCAGTTACAGGGTTTGAGAGGATTGACTCCAATTTTGAAAGAATTTCTACTGTGGATAAAATGTTGTCAAACAGCATGGCATGCTACAGAGAAATTGTTCGTGAAAGGAAGAGTCACTTGATGTAGCAAACTTCATTATTGTGTTATTTTAAGAAATTGCCACAGGCCCCCAACCTTTATCAACCACCACCCTGATCAATCAGCAGCCATCAGCATCAAGGCAAAACCCTCCACGAGCAAAAAGATTATGGCTCACTGAAGCTAAGACAATGATTAGCAGTTTTTAGCAAGAAAGTATTTTTATATAAGGTTTGTACATTTTTTTTTTGGATGTAAAGCTTATTACACACTTGATAGACTACAGTATAGTGTAAACATAACCTTTATATGCACTGGGATACCAAAAAATCTATGTGACTTTATTGATATTTGCTTTATTGCAGTGGTCTGGATTGGAAGCAGAAATAACTCTGAGGTATACCTGTGGTTTCAGTCTCTGCTGAAATCACCTATCTGATCTTGCATGTTTCCATGTTTTCCATTAAATCCTTTAATACATTAATTATGGTTATTTTAAGTTAACTGATACTTCTGACATCTGTATCATTTAAGAGTATGGCTCTGAGCATTGCTTGGTATTTTGGAAATGTGCCATTTCTTGCTCTTCTGTATGCTGCTTAATTTTTGTTAAAGTTGAACATCTTGAGTAAGACAGTAGATATTGAGATAAGTATTTTTATGCTTTCAGGTGAACACCTTTTAAAAATACTGTTAAGCCTTTAATATTAGGAGGTTTTTGTCAATCTAGTCAGGAATTGTCTGCGTTTGATATTGGTGGTGGTTGTGGTGACTGAAATCTTCAGTTACCCTTAAACATGATTAAAATGTAGGCTGGCTCAGGAGAAAGTACTTTTCTCCAATGTCTAATCTTTCTTGGGTTTGGTTTCTCCTTCTTTGATTTCTCCAGAAAGATTCTCTTGCAGCTCTCCTATCTTGATTCCACTGCATTTTTGCTAGACTTTTATTGTGATGGTAGTTGAGAGAGAAGGGCAGTCTCTAATGTTCTGATTAAGCTTTAGTCTTTGACAGGTATGGTGTCCATGGATCTTGGAGGTGTTTCCTTCACAAGTGCTTCAATCCCTCCCCCAGCTTTAGTGCTGACCTAGTACTTTTTGCTGACTCTTCCTCAAGGATGAAGGGTTTTTTTCTTCCTGTTTCCTTCCCTAGCGATAAGTCTCCATAGTGCCCTAGGTGACCATTCTTTTTTCTTCCCTCTCTGTAGATTATAGCATTGTTCCTTTCCAGGTGGTAGGGGAAATGAGTGTAGATGGGGTTTTGGCAGGGCTGTAGGGCCTCTCCCCTAGCCAGTACCCTGTGGGAAGTTTTCTCAGGGTTCCCATGCTCTCCTTTTGAACACTTAGAAGTGTTCATGAAGGTAAAGCCTGTCAAGGGGGGTGACCTCTTCTCTCCTCCGTATCTATGGTCCTCAGAGGCTTCACATGCTTACACTGGTTAACACTTAGGTTTTAGAAGTTCATTGAAAACTTTTGTTGACTTTGGCCAGTTTATATAGCAGTTGATCCAAATACTGGTTCTAACTCCTATCACTGCAACTCTGTGATTGTGTGACTTTGGGCAAGTCAGGTGATCTAATCTCCTTTTTATTTTTCTGCCACCATTAAGGTTATAACCCAACTTTTGCCTAGTATTGTGTTGCACAGGAAATCCCTAGTTGTTAGTGATTATACAGTATTGGGTTAGCTTTTGTTCTGGGTACACTGTTTTACCTCTTTCATGTGTAGTTTGTGAGCTTACTGAGGGCATAACATCAGTAAAATACATGTATATGTATATAATTACTTTATAGTATATATAAATATATGTTATTTTGTATATATGTGAATATCTGATAGTGCCCAGTTCAATGCAAGGAGCAGATTAGGAATGCATTATGTACAAATAATTATTAGTTTCTTACCACTTAGGCGGCTGCATAATTGATAAACTCTGGTTAGTGAAATTTTGACCCTAAGAACGTCATCCTTGCACCTGCTGTCAACAGACACCAGATGCAATGACTAGTTATGACCCCAACTCCTTTCAGTGATTCTGTAGGTAAATTTTGATGGTCTTACTCTGTTCAGAAAATATTTTATCTTGATATCATGTAATTGAAGCAACTAATTACTGTATCCTATTCCTTTAATTAGAAAACAGTAGCGCACAAGTAACATCCACAGGAAGCCTTATATTCCAGAACTTTGAGGAGAACATGAGTGGAGTTTATACGTGTTTCCTTGAGTATAAACCTATGGTGGAAGAAGTTATTAAAAATCTTCAACTAAAATATGTTATATATGGTAAGAAGTGCATTTTGTTGTATTTTAACATTTCTTAATTTTTCCAAATATTTAAATATTTTAACAGGTTTATTTTAAAGGGATTTTGTTATTTTTAGTCTCTTTTAATTGAAGAAAAATTACTGCCTGCCTGTATTTTACAAAGTACTTTGTCAAGGGTTAGTGGTGAGGACAGATCTTTTTTCTTCAGGGGAATGTTGACATGTACATAGCTAAATTTAAGAGAATGAATGAAACGGGGTTTGGAAATTATGCTTTGAAATTATTATGTTGCTATTTTAGTCTGTGCTGCCTTTAAATTCTGAGTATCATGCTTGATGGCACACTGCCATTTCCCCCAAACAGAAGCATGAAGTACCACTGTAAAATTCTTTTCTAAAAGCAATTTGATCTGTTGAGGTTTGAGATTGGGAGAGCTGAGTTGACAGTGGAGTGGCCAGGAGAACAGCTTGAACAAAGGTTGCTTGTAAGTTCCATCTCACTGGTGGGACACAGGTATGGTAGATAGAATAGTGGTCCTCAAAGATGTCCATGTCTAATCTCCAGAACCTGTGCGTATGTTACCTTGCAGTGCAAAAGGGACTTTGCATATATAACTCTTCAAACAGTAGTGTTTGGAACATTTAAATAAATCTCCCCCCTTTCTGTGCATGTCTCTGTGTCTCTGTCTCTCTCTCATCTCTCTGTGTGTAAACATACACATACACACACACCCCAACACATATCCCTGGATTGTACTGTGGAAGTTAAATTGTTGGTGTTTCTATAAGATGAATTCTGTAAGGAAAAATCTTCTGTAGGGTATTGACAGTGTAACTTTCATAGATTCTACCAGTCACCCTACAAAGAGTGTACCAATTTATGTCCTTGCCATAGTATGTGAGAACCTCATTACCCATAACTCCCTTAATACTGTATTTTGAATTGTTGCTGATCTGATAGGTTAATAATGGTATTCCATGGTTTTAATGTGTGTTTTTTTGGTGACTGATGGGTTATTTGACTTTTGCTATTTGCATGAGCTTCACGTGTGTGAGTATGTATGTCTGAGTAACTACTGAGAGATATGTACATATGCAGGTATATAGCAGTGTAGATATTAATTTCATGTCAAATACGTTATATTCTGTATTTTATTTTTCTGTAGCTTACAGACCTTTTTAATTGTGAGTGAGGATAATTTAAAATTTCAAGATTTTATGTAGTCCACAGGTGGTATTATTTTCTTTTTGGCCTTTGTTTCTTACTGTGCTGAGCATGGTTCCCTGAATCATAAGAATTGAGTTCACTATAATTACATTATATTTTTATATATGAAGTTTAACATTTCTGAAAATAACAATAATAGCGTAGCACCCAGAATTACTATAAAATTTAAATTTGGCAAGACAGTGGATGTATGGTGACTCATTGCTTTAATATGCGCTCCCTTAATTACTAGTAAATTTGAGCTTTTTTAATATTTTTATTACACAATAGATTACAGTGCCTTTTGTTTGCCAAAGTTCATCTTTTTTCTTCAGTAATTTGTAGGTTTTCACCATTCTGGATACCAGTCTTTTATCATGTTGCAATAGCTTCTGCCTGTCTCTCACTTGTCTTAACATTAGATATGATGTTGTTTATACTGCAGAAGTGTCAGATATTGTTGTAATGAGATTTATTAATTTTTTAAATTGGTTTGTTCAATTTTTTTATAAAACATTGTTTCATATACCTAGAAAATAAAAATACCTTCCTATGTTTACTTTACTAGGCCTATGTTTTTTTTTAATTAAGCTTTTTGTTTTGAGTTAATTGTAGGTTTGCATGTAGTTGCAAAAGACAATATAGAGAGATCCCATGTATCGTTTACGCAGCTTTCCCCAACAGCAACATTTTATAAGCTTACAGTACATTATCAGGCCAAGATACAGACTTTCTTACTGTCCACCCATCTTATTCAGTTTTCTCCAATTTTATATGTACTCATTTGTGTATGTGTGTTGTGCGTGTTTAGTTCTCTAAGTTTTATCCCGTGTGTAGACTCATGTATCCACCACTACAGTCAAGATACAGAGCAATATGGTCAACAGAAGTATACCTTGGGTTGTCCTTTTATGATCAAACTTGTTTCCCTCTCACCCTCTTTCATCATGCGTGACCACCACAGATCTTCTCCAATTCTGTAATTTCATCATTTCCAAAGTATGATGTAAATGCAGGGATCTAGTATGTAATCTTATGGGATTGGCTTTTTCAGTTGGCCTAATTCCCTGGAAACTCATCTAAATTGTTGTGTGCATTTAATCAGTTGTTCCCTTTTATTGCTGAGTTGTAATCCATTGTATGGAAGTACCACAATTTAACCAGTCATCCACAGAACATCTGAGTTGCTTCAGGTTTTGGGCTATTACTTATAAAGTTGCTGTGAACATTAGTGTAGTTTTTTGTGTAGACATGAGTTTTTATTTCTGTGGGATAAATGCCCAAAGGGTTGATGGATCAAGTATTAATTGCACGTTTAATCTTGTAAGAAATTGCCATACTGTTTTCCAGAGTGGCTGTGCCATTTTACATTCCCACCAGCAATGTAAGAGTAATGCAGTTTCTCTGTGTCCTCACTAGTATTTGGTGTTGACATTATTTTTATTTTAGCCATTTTGATAAATGTGAAGCGATATTTCGTTGTGGTTTTCGTTTGAGTTTACTTAATGTCTAATGATGTTGAACATATTTTTATGAGCATATTTGCCACCTGTACATTCTCTTTGGTGAAATGTCTGTTGGCACCTTTTGCCCATTTTCTAATTGTCTGATATATTACTACTGATATTTTTTTGAGAGTTTCTTAAAAATGATATTTCTAAATACTATTCTTTTGTTGGTTATGTTGTTTGCAAATATTTACTTACAGTCTATATCTTGTTGTTTTTGTATCTTAACAGGATCTTTTTTTTTAATGGAGGGGATCAGAATATGTTTTTTTCATCTTTAAATGTTTTTACCTTTTGACCCCCTTAACCCATTTCTCTCCCAAACCCCTGCCTCTGGCAACCACTAATCTGTTCTCTTGTTTTGTTTTAAGATTCCACATATAAGTGAGATCATATGGTATTTATCTTTCTCTGTCTGACTTATTTTGCTTAGCATAATGCCATAGAGGTCCATCCTTGTTTTCACAAACGACAAAATTTAATTCTTTTTTATGGCTGAATAATACTTCATTGTGTGTATATGTATACACACTATATATATATATATATATATGTATGTATGTATGTATACGTGTATATATATATATACACACACACCACAATTTCTTTATCCATTCATCCATTGATGGACACTTAGGTTGTTGCCATATCTTGGCTATCGTAAATAGTGGTGCAGTGGACATGGGATGCATATATCTTTTCAAGTTACTGTTTTCATTTTCTTTGGATAAATACCTAGAAGTGGAATAGCTAGATCATATGGTTGTTCTGTTTTTAATTTTGGGGGGAACCTCCATTCTGTTTTTCATAATTTACAATCCCCTTAACAGTGCACAAGTGTTCCCTTTTCTTCACATCCTCACAAAAACTTATTTCTTGTCTTTTTGATAATAGCTGTTCTAACAGGTATGAGATGGTATTTCATTGTGGTTTTGATTTGCGTTTCCCAGATGATTAGTGATGTTGAGCATCTTTTTATGTGCCTTTTAGTTATCTGTATGTCTTCTTTGGAAAAATGTCTATTCATATCTTCTGCCCATTTTTTAATCAAGTTTTTTTGCTATTGAGTTGTATGAGTTTTTTATATATTTTGGATATTAACTCCTTACCAGATATATGATTTACAAATATTTTCTCCCATTCAGTAGGTTGTCTTTTCATTTTGTTGATGGTTTCCTTTGCTGTGCAGAAGCTTTTGAATTTGATGTAGTTCCACTTGTTTATTTTTGCTTTTGTTGCTTTTAGTTTGGTGTCAGATTCAAAAACTCATTGCCAAAATCTATGTCGAGGAGCTTACTCACTATGTTTTCTTCTAGGGAGTTTATTGTTTCAGGTCTTATGTTCAAGTATTTAATCCATTTTGAGTTAATTTTTGTGTATGATCTAAGATAGTGGTCCAGTTTCATTATTTTGCGTGTGGCTGTCCAGTTATCCTAACACCATTTATTTAAGAGACTATGTTTTGCCTGTTGTATATTCTTGGCTCCTTGTTGTTAATTAATTAACCATATATGTGTGGATTTATTTCTAGTCTGTTTATTCTGTTCTGTTGATCTATGTATCTTTTTAAGGTATTACTATAGCTTTGCAATTGAGTTTGAAATCAGGGAGTGTGATGCCTCCAGCTTTGTTCTTTCTCAAGATGGCATTGGCTATTCAGGGTCTATTGTGGTTCCGTGTTATTTTTTCTGTTTCTGTGAAAAATTCCATTGGAATTTTGAAAAGGGTTGCATTGAGTCTGTAGATTGCTTGGGATAATTTGGACATTTTAACAATATTAATTCTTTCAATCCATGAGCATGGAGTATCTTTCCCTTTATTTGTGTCTTCAGTTTCTTTCCTTAATGTCTTGTAGTTTTTAGTATTTTCACAGAGCCAAAGATTTTCAATCTTATGAGGTCTGGTTTATCAAATTTGCTTATTAATCATGCTTTTGGTTTCAAGTCTAAGAATTTTTTGCGAGGCCATAGGCAAAGATTTTCTCCTAATTTTTTCCTGAAGTTTTATAGTTTTACTTTAAATATGATGCATTTTCAGTTAACTTTTGTTTAAATTGTGAGGTTTAATTTTTTGCACATAGATATCCAATTGCTCCAGTATCATTTCTTGAAAAGACTGTCCTTCTTTCAATGTATTGTTTTTGCACCTTTGTCAAAAATCGGTTGAGAATAATTGTCTGAGTCTATTTTTGGGTTCTCTGGTTTTTCCATTGATCAATGTGGTACTTCGCCAGTACCACACTGTTGATCACTCTCACTATATAGAAACCGTTGATATCAGGTAGAGTGATTCCTCCCGCTATTC